ATGACAAAATTTTCGGTGGGTGGAGAGGCCAGGATACTCAGCTCCATGGACAGAGGCTAACGCCTGATAGCCATCCCCATTAGAATCTAAATGCCCCCAAATTCATTCTCTATCTCTCACTTCTTCCTCTTTCATAGAAGAGAAGAGAGAAAGAAAGAAATATTTAATTAAGCCGAGTGGTTCAGTAGCAGAATTCTCACCTTCCTTGCAGGAGCCTGGGGTTTAATTCCCAGCCAATGCACTTCATGCTCAGCCACCACCAGGACTAAAATGGAATAGGAAGAAAGACCTGGTAATCTACTTACGAAAATCAACCAATGACAACTTTTGGATCACAATGGTCCGATCCGCAACCAGCTGGGCAGCATTTTGTTCAGATTGCCTTGAGTTGGGGCCGACTTGATGGCAGATAACAACAATGTGTCAAGTACTGTTCTGGGTACTTTGTAATATGCATTATCTCATCTATTCTCAATGCATCCCTACAAAGAAGATAACCATTTATATGCTAAGGAACTCGAGACTTGGAGAAGCTAACTTGCCAAGGTTCCATAATCAGTAAGACAGCTGGAATTGAAAACTGCCTTTATCTGACTCTGTAGCCCATGCTCATCCATTAAATAACGTTTATACCAGACATTTAGAGCATTCAGGACCTGGCAGGAAGGGAAGGGATGAGAGTAAAGGGAAGAGAATGCTACACAGGAAGGGGAAGCATGCTTTTCTTTGAGATGCAATTCTGACCCCTTCTGAGTCATCATAGTCTGGCCTCCCTCTCTGTCGTCACTTTTCTATGATGAGAGGCCTCTAGTAAGCCAAGTGTTGAAATGCTTTGGGAGAGTGGGCTGCCTCTTATACTTATTTAGTGCTTGGCTGGTGCCCCTAATCTTGTTTAACAACTGACAGGCTGTTAGATCATAAGACTTCTCAGTATCTTGGTTTACTTCTTTGCAAAATAAATGCCATAGTCCTCTCTTTCTATGTGGATTTTGAAAAATGGCTATCATCGGTAATGAGAACTTTAAGTACATAAGAGCATATCTTCAAAGTGAATGGATGCAACGTGACCTTCTCTTGGACAGGCTTACTCTCTCCCTTCAAATACTAGTTCATTTGGGGGCTCCCACCCCCTGAAGCTCAGCAGGCCACCAAGTCTCACTTCCAGTGAGTGCCATTTAAAAGCCAAAGCAAGCTGATTATAAACTTTTTAACATGTGCCTCTCATCTGCTCAGCAGAAATCCCTGTAGCTTGTTAATAGTTCCCTTCTTATTTTTTTTTGTAGTGAAACCAATTGAGGCCTTAAATCAGTACCATGCGCTCCATCTTGGGCCATCCAAGAAAGCTATGTAGAGTTGTAAAAAGTCATCTGCTCCATCTTGTGATTCCTGATGCAGGGCTAGGGCCAGTGCCTGATAGAGCGTACCTATGACTGGACGGTACAGTGTGCTGAACAGGTGGTCTCCTCAGGGATCACATAAACACCAGCTCATGGAGACCAAGGACGGACTTTCAAAGAGAGGAGACCAGATACATATCCCGTAAAACACAGATCTCTTTACAGCTGGAGTCAAGTTTCTCCATTTGTGCCATAGCACTTATTTCACTGAAGCTCATGGCATTTAAGGTGGAAGAGGAGGAAAATGTGTAGGAAGCCTCAAAGAAGAACCATACTGCAAGCAGAAAATGAATCTCTGACCTGTCTATAAGTCACTGTAGGCTAGGCCATTCAGGATTACCAAAACAAGAAGCATGGGATGTTCTTCCTCCTCCTTCTCAAACTTCCCCTTCTGGAACTCCTTCCTTATATTAAAATAATCCCTTGGAAAGTACTTTTAACTGGTCTCTTAGATCTTAGCATAACTTTAATCTACAGACACAGATATTATGTTAGAGAAGGACAGAAACAGGGACCCACTCATTCAAGCCCCTTGTTTCACAGAGGAGGAAAAGTAGGCCCACTGAGGTTCCCTGCGTTGCCTGTGGTCATGAGCTGGGAGGAGGCAGATGCACCTAGAATCAAGCTAGGTGATCTTTCCGCCATGGCCAGCTGCTGGTTTACATCTCCTGGTGATATTTGTAATGTTGGCTGTATCTCAAACTGTGGAATAAAAATCTTTTTACCCTTGTTAAAGGAATTTAAGGCTTGAACAAGAAGACAAGGAAGGAGAATTTTCTGAAATGACTCTAAAATCAGTGTCTATTTATATATAACCTCAGCTCTAGCTTGTAAATGCATTGGGGAACTGCTTTTGACCAAGAGAGAGATGGGTTTAGCTGGGGTTTATAAAAATTTAACTCTGAAAAAATATTAAGAGCCAAGTTTGTGCTTCTTTAGTCAATTTCAGTTGCTTTAGAGTCAGTTCCAACTTATGGCGACCTCATGTGTGTCAGAGTAAAACTGTACTCCATAGGGTTTTCAATGGCTGATTTTTTGGAAGTAGATCACCAGGCCTTTCTTCCAAGGTGGAACCGTGGTGGTGCAGTGGTTAAGAACTATGGCTGCTAACCAAAAGGTTGGCAGTTCGAATCCACCAGGTGCTCCTTAGAAATCCTATGGGGCAGTTCTACTCTGTCCTATAGGGTCGCTATGAGTCAGAATGAACTGGACAGCAATGGATTTTTTTTTTTTTTTTTGTTCTTGCAAGGTACCTGTAGGTGGACTTAAACCTCCAACATTTCTGTTAGCATCTGAGCTTGTTAACTGTCTGCACCAGCCAGGGACTTCTGCAGCCAATAGGACTAGCTTTATCTGTGGATGTAGGCTCAGAACTTCTTTCCCCTCCCCAAAATTTCTTTATTGAGATTTGAATTAACTTAGGAATTCTTTGAAGGATCTATCTCTCAACTCATATATCTGGCATCCTTCTCCCTGGTACAGTGTGGATGGTGTCTATATACCAATATCCCTGGAATTCTGCTGGTTTTCTGCCCATTTTTCTCAGTGAAAAAAAATTATCCTTACTCGTTTCCACTTGAAGTGTCCTTTGCCCTTTTATAGCAGCTCAGGTTCTAAGAGTCCCATCCTGAGTTGTGGATGACCTAAAGTGTTCCAAGCTCCTTGGGGAATTACAGCTCTCAAAAATTCTGGGAAAGTCCCAACCTTGCCCTGAATGAGGGAATTCCATCATGGGAGGCTTCCTATGGAAACTAAGCAACTGCTCATTCTAGAAATAAAATGAAAGGCCCAGCAGCCCTGGCAATCATCATCATCTTCAGCTTCGTTTGGGTGAGATAAGAAGTGGATACTAACTGTGGCTTCCTGTCCACAGGGAGAAAGGAGACATGTAAAGGTTATTGTTGGTCTTCTTAAACTACCTGAGAACACCTGTGGAGTGAGTTTGGATCTCCTGTGTCTATTGGTGTACCGGCAACCAATCCAGCCCTAGCGTACACAAGTCATAAGAGCTACCTTTTCAAATACAGATTCAGGATTTGTAGAGATGAAAAGGACCTGGAGATCCTCTAACATGAAGTGTGGGTCCCTGGACCAGCAGCATCAGCATCACCTGAGAACTTGTTAGAAATGCAAATTCTCCGGCCCCATTCCAGATCTACTGAATCAGAAACTCTGGAGTTGGAGACAGCGATCTGTGCTTTAAATAAGCCCTCTCAGTGATTCTGTTGTATGGTCAGGTTTGACAATCACTACTAAGGGTACTTTGAAATGAGGAATTTGGGTTAGATTATTGGCTATCAACCTTGGCTACACATTAGAATCCTTTGGGGAGCTTTAAAAACAATACTAATGCAGAGGTCCCACCCCCAGAAACTCTCATTTACTTGGTCTAGGTGGAGCTCTGGAATATTAGCATTTTTTAATCTCTCAGGTATTCTTACATGCAGCCAAGCTTGAAAACAACTGAGCTAACTCAATTCCTCATTTCTAGAGGAAAACACTGAAACTCAGAAAGATGTGCCAGGGTTCTGGGCCGGGGAGGTGGTTAGCATGGCAGAGTTGTGAGTAGAACCCGTATCTCCTGGCTTTCAGGTCAGCTTTGGTCAGTTTGGCTGCCTGTCCTCACAAATCTCCAAAATCCAAAGATTCCATTTATAGTCTTTGTTCTAGTCCCTGAGACTGGACAGGCTCCTCTAAAGGGAGATTAACAGGGCCTTTGGATCATCATCATTTTGTTTCAGGTTAGTCTTGTTTTATTCCGAATCATATAACCTCACTCTTATAATTGTGCTTATAATGTCCTTTATTTGACAGAACTTCCATCTCATACTCTACCTGGGTCCCTCTGCGTAGCACTTCCAGGCCTCAGCCCTGACTTGGTATCCTGCCCCAGTACCTATTTTCCTCTGAGATTAGGATCCTACTTTAGTATACTACAATTCTGGCTGAAAGACTAAATATGGTAAAGTAGGCAACATTCTCTGGATGCATTTAATGCATTTAATGCATTCCTACTGAAAGCGGGAAATGTTGAGCTAGGATTTTAATGCTGATTACAGGAGGTCTTACCTGAAAGTGAATCTGAAGGTGAGAAATAGCAAAATGAATAATGGAAGGTTTATTTGTTTATTTTTTAACAGGTCTTACTAAGACTCTTACAGAGACAAACAAGTAAAAGTTTAGCATTCTTTTTTTTTTTTTTTGCACGCTCTTTGTTCTTTCTTGGGGGTTGTATAGGTGGAATCACTTAGCAGAAGTCTGCTGGGTTAAGAGAAGCAATGGTTCTGTAAAAATCAGCCCATCTTGGACATTTGAGGACATCTCCTGTATGGCTTGTATCTGGCCTAGATAGACTGACCTTACAAACCTCTGTCTCAATGGTAACACATTTTCTTGGAGTTGATTCTGAGTCATGGGACCCCATATGTTACAGAGTTGAACTGCTCCATAGGGTTTTAAAGGCCAGTGTATCTTTTGGAAGCAGATTGCCAGGGCTGTCTTCTGTGGAGCCACTGGGTGGGTTTGAACCACCAACATTTAGGTTAGTGCATTGCACCACCCAGGGACCTTTTGTTTTAATGGTATTTATGTTTCATTTTTTAGGAGGCAGCACAGGTACTTCCCCAACCACCTCCAGCACTGGGACACCATCTCCTTCAGCTTCTTCTCATCTTTTATCTCCATCCTGTTCTCCTCCAACCTTTCATTTGGCCCCCAACACTTTCAACGTGGGCTGCCGAGAGAGCCAGCTATGTAATCTAAACCTCTCTGATTATCCACCCTGTGCCCGAAGCAATATGGCTGCCTTGCAGAGCTACCCAGGGCTGAGTGACAGTGGCTACAATAGGCTTCAGAGTGGCACTGCTTCAGCCACTCAGCCCTCAGAAACCTTCATGCCTCAGAGGACTCCATCCCTGATCTCAGGAATACCAACTCCTCCCTCGTTGCCTAGCAACAGCAAGATGGAAGCCTATGGTGGCCAGCTGGGGTCCTTCCCCACTTCCCAGTTTCAGTATGTCATGCAGGCAGGCAATGCAGCCTCCAGCTCCTCATCACCACACATGTTTGGGGGCAGCCACATGCAGCAGAGCTCCTACAATGCCTTCTCCCTCCACAACCCCTACAACCTGTATGGATACAATTTCCCCACTTCCCCTAGGCTAGCTGCAAGCCCAGAAAAACTGAGCACCTCTCAAAGCACTTTACTCTGTTCTTCTCCTTCCAACGGGGCCTTTGGAGAGAGGCAGTACCTGCCCACAGGGATGGAGCACAGCATGCACATGATTAGCCCTTCACCCAATAATCAGCAGGCAACCAACACCTGTGATGGCCGGCAGTATGGGGCGGTCCCAGGCTCCTCTTCCCAGATGTCCGTGCACATGGTTTAATGGCTAATCAGACACCACGGAGCCCATGGCAGCCAAGGCCCCAGAGTCTCCTTGGGTGGACCCTCTGTTTTGGGAGCCCTTTGAAAAAGAGGAACTGTGCTTTTTTTTTTTTTTTTTTGGAGAAGGAACAACAAGAGACACTTTTAAGCCACTGAAGGATGCTTACAGTGGAATTGTCCCCAACTCAGTGGCCATTCTCCTGTCATCCCAAGCCTTAGCTTTATAAAGCATCGTCTACTCCAGGGTGGCCTTTGAAGACTGAATAATCATTTTATAATAATGTTAAAGGAGATGCTAGGGTGTAGCAGCCATGACCAGTCATACACACAAACACAGACCTACCTGTACATATTTACATACATACATATACAGTCATGCGTTGCTTAACATCCATGATATGTTCTGTGATATAGGACGTTATGTGATTTGGACATTGTGCAAACATGCTTGAATCGCAAGCAATAGCATTCACTGATTTTCTACCTTTGTGTTGTTTAATAACTTTTTTTTTCACTTCCAAATCAATACTTCTCTTTTGCCTCTTGCTGCTGCTATCACTAGCACTGGTTTTGCTGCATTTGGGAGCCATGAAGTATTTCACAGTAATATTTTCAAAAGATATCAGAGAGATAAAGCTACAACACTCAAGAGATACGTGATACACGAGATTGGATGCTCCTGCCTACAAGTCGAAGCATATACTGTTATACAGTAAACTTTTTATTGTAAGTAGGGAAAATTCACATTAAAATAATGATGTAGTACAGTACAGTACATATATAAGCCAGTGACACAGACGTTCATTATGACTCTCAAGACGTGTATTGTAGGTTGTATATGTACTATACCATTATACTCCTGGCAGTGTAGTCGCTTTGTATACAAGAGACGTGAGATACATGTGCTGCATGTGGAAAACTGTTGTGTTCACTACATCCTGTTACGTTCGATAGTCCCATTCTCCAATCAGGATTTCGGAACTCTATTATAACCTTATGGGACCATCGACTTATATGTGGTCGGATGTTGCCCGAATGGATGTTATGCGGCGCATGACTGTATATTCATATACACACTCACACAGACGCATACATGCACACTTACTCTGAACTGAGTGAACTCTTTGTGGAGGAAGGCCCAGAATGGGTGCTTTCACCAAAGAATTTGTCTATGTACAACACTAGATGAACTGGGCCAGCAGTAGCTGCCAGCCTTTCTCCCCTGCAGCTTACCCTGTTTCTGGAATGAACTGTGTATCCTGAAACTGCTTCCCATTGATGAAGGTGGAAAGACATCAGTACTACAACTGGATTTGACTGCCTGAACAAGATTGCTTTTAAACTTTGGCTCTCTTCATTCAGTGTGCTATCGTCAATGTTCCCAGTGGTGCCCGTGAAAAGAGGGAGTGAGAGCAGCTGAGCAGGAGAGAGAGAAAGAGAAAGAATAGAGAGCAAGAGAGACGTGGAGAACAAGACTGAGAGAGAAGGTGTGAGCAATGATGAGAGTTTTGATTCACCATGGAAATTTGTTTTTATTTTGTTTGCTTTTCTTTTCCCCTACAGGTTATAGAAAGAATCATGGTGTTACTGAGGATTAAACCTCTTTGGGACACTGTACTTGTGCATTATGCACAAGAGTGCATGGCCAGGGCACTGGTGAGAGGGACTGGGGCAAGGAATGCATCTTGATTCCATTGCTCTGACTATTGTGAGCCAGAAGAGAGGTGCACCACATGGGAAGTGCCGATTCCACAGCATGCAGCCTGGTAGGGAATGGGAAATAGAAGGAGTGTGAAGAAGGAAGAGTTTTATAGTCCTGACAAATGATACCAACAGCAGAGGCGACAAAAAGAGGCCTGGCCTGCCACATGCGGGTCCAGACACCTGACCTCGATCACCTGGCCACTGGTCCCTGTGGCTGGAGAAATCCTGTCGTATTCCAGGGAATTACAGATGAGCCTTCTACACCCTTCCACCTGCCCTTAGATCTCTGTGTTTATCAAATAGCTCATTGCATTTTGAAGTTTTGGTTTTTTTTTTCCTTCTTCCCCTTCCCCTTCAGATCTTTTAATGATAAGAAAACAAGTGAAGCTTGGTGCAAGCTAAACTTTTTAAGTGGTGTGGAAATGCAAATAATACCAAGTAAAATAATACAGATATTATTAAGATTTTTGGTTTTGAGGTGTTGTAGATAAATGTATTTATGTGCCTAGTGGGGAATCCAATATTATGAATATTAAAAAAAGGGGGCAATAAAAAGGGTATGTAAAATATGTATGAAGAAAAGGTATATAAAAATTTGCCCTTATGCACGGAACTCTGTTTCTAAGTGCCAAGCACAGAAAGCCGCTAAATAAAGTCTTTGCAATTGTTTTCTGCGTGTTTGTTAAGACAAAAAAAGAAAAATAAATAATAGCCCTATGTACTTGTATCATGCTTTACAGTGTGCTCAGCACTTTACATACTACTTCATGTGATTCTTATACAGATCCCATGGACTAATTATTACCATTCTCTTTTTACAGTTAGTAGCTGAACTCCCGAGAGATTGAGTGAATTATCCAGGAACGTACATACAGCCAGTCAAAAGGAATTAGGTCTTGTTACCAAGTCTTCTGACACTAGTAGGATTTTCACTTTCATATTGGCTGCAGAAACTTGTGTGAATTTAACAGTAATCTTCAGTGTTGCCGTGTTTCAGACACTATGTTGTTAAGTCCCATTGAGTTGGCTCTGTCTCATGGTGACCCCCATGTATGACAGAGCAAAATGTTGTCCAGTCCTGCACCATCTTTATGATCATTGGTATGCTCAGGTCTGTTGTTGCAGCCACTGTGTATTTTGAGTGGCTTCCAACCTAGGGGACTCATCTTCTAGCACTATATTGACACTATTCTGTTGTAATCCATAGGGATTTCATTGGCTAATTTTCAGAAGTAGATCACCAGGTCTTTCTTTCTAGTCTGTCTTAGTCTGTAAGCACTGCTGAAACCTGTCCACCATGGGTGACTCTGCTGGTGTTTGAAATACCCGTGGCATAACTTCCAGCATCCTGGCAACATGCAAGCCACCATAATACAACAAACCGACAGATGGTGGTGGGCCAGATGCTATCCCATGCGCATCACATGATTATATCAACTAATCCTCCCATAATTCTGTGAGATAAGTATTATTTTTATTTCTGTTTTACAAATCAGACAGGCTTAAAAAAAGGCTAAATACTGGACCAAGACTCTCAGGTAGGAAGTGATAGAGCTTGTTGTCTGACCTTAGGGCCTATGCAGTTAGCACTACGTCATTCTGCTGAGGTCCCAGTAGTCCCATGAGGCACTTAGACAATCAGGAAAGATTATTCCCAATCCTCCCAAGGGGTGAAGACAGTAGTGTCATTGTAAACATGTACCCTCCCCCTTGAATGCACCACCACAGTATGTGGTGTACCAAGTGCCTATTTATAACAGACGAATAAAAAGCCTAGGGCTATACCATTTACAACCATTTTCATACATTACCTCATTTGAACTGCACAATAACCACACGAAGTGGACGGGGCAGGGTGCATTGTTTTGCAAATGGAGAACTAGGATGGTAATGGTCCCTGTGTGCCTGGGAAGCAGCAGAGCCAGGTCTTGAAGTCTGCTCTCACCTCTGCTCCAGACTGTTTCCTGGTGGACAGTTACACTGGGAGCCCAGTGAGCAATTCCACCAGGGCTTGATTTGGGGTTCAGGTTTCTCACCACCACACATTCATTGGAAATGGAGCTTAGTTTGGGGGAGAAAAAACCTTAATCCATGCTTTGGTTTTATAAACAACTTCAAGGAGTGACATGTCAGTTAATTCCAACAGCCATCAAATTATTGACAAAATAGCTGTGACAATGACTGAGCCCCTCTGGGAATTGTAGGTTCTCTGGGCATCAGAGTTCTCTACATTAAAAAAGACACTCCTGTCTGTATCTTAGGTACGTAATAGTACACTGGGAACAACTACTTATGAAGCTTATTGTTCTTTCTGATTTAGCAGCATATCAAATATCATTCACTGGTCTAACACCCTTTGAGGTTCTCAGATAATAGATAATCATAACATGCCAAGCAATATATTCATTTAATAGTAAGAAGACTAATTTCAATCATCATCTAGAGTATTAAGTACAGAAAATTTCTGTTATTTGGACAGAAATTAGAATGATCCAGGTCAGTTACATTGGAATTATAGCGTATGTTTCTACATGTTCCGGATAAAGTAATAAAAATGTTTCTTTTAAAATAAACTGGATAAAGCATTGTGAAGTCTATGCTTTACCCAATACTCTTTAATGAAATGGGGAAAATTCATCGTAACTGGCACACTGATGACATACAAAGGGCTATTTATTAAAAGGATGTTTTTCTATAGATTAAGATGCTCCATCCTTTCTCATGTTCCTTGAGGAAAATCTGTCTTGTTTATCTTTGTATTCTCTATGCCTAGGACAGTTCCTGGCCTTCTATAGAATCTCAGTACACATTCATTCTTATTACTGAATTTATCTACCAAACCCATTTTCAAAGATAGCGCAAAAGGTTGCATGACTGAATTATCATTCATTCTAAATTAATGGGACCTAATTTAAAAAGCTTTATTGTATTCCATACAGTACTTTGTGATAGATTAATGTAAATTTAGATAGCAGCTAGCAAGTGTCCTTTGTGCATAACGAGGGGAGGGAGGGGTAAAAAAGAATGTCACAGTTTCTTCCTTGAAAGGGTTTATTTTTCAGGCAGTCATGCACATATTAGGCAAATGATATAAAAGACCCTGAAAAATTAGAGAAGATCCTCAATGTAAGAAGGTGAGATTGGGATTGTTTTTTATCAGGGGAGATAGAAGTGAAAAATGGGTTAAGAATGAAATAACATTTTAAAAGACAATAAAGTAACTGAGTTATGGAGGAAAAATGATAGCATCTCAATTCAGAGTAATTTAATAAAGCTGGAGACATCCAGAACCTTCTTGCTGCCTGTAGACTAGTATCCTTTTCTATGGAATATTTGCATTAGTGGGAGTGTTGAGGCTGGGATCAAAGGACAGAACTGTTGGTTCATGCCAAATGTTTGATTCATCACTTAGTA